ATTATGGAGATAGCGGCGTTTCTATAATATTAAACTAATAAACACTATCTATTGGTTTCACCATAAATTTATTGCTCTTGGATTAAAAACTATTTAGTAGAAAATTTATTATTAGATCATGCCTGCAATCATTGTAAAAAAGATTTTTAAATTTGAATGTTTTCAAGTTTCATAAAGCGTTTCATAAGCCTTTAAACCTTGTTTATTATTTAATAACAAAATAAATATTTGGCAATAAATTCTTCATGTAGTGATAGAGTAAGGTCGTACTACTAGAAAAATGCGGGATATGTTGAATTGTGTAATTACAGAAGTTAGATTTGATGATCGCAAAACTATAAGGCGTGGAAATCGTAATATGAGATACTCAGGATATTTCTAATATGAAATAATCCATGTCATTGCGAAAATTGTTGCTAAAGAATAAATGTTATCGTATATACAATAATAAAAAGAAGAACCGGAATGAACGTCGAGTGCCTATTTCTGCGATGCTTGATTCCAACTATCTGAAGACAAGTATAGTCTGGGTATAATCTATGCTATCGCATGCCCCTTTTTTACGTACGCTGTATTTATTTGCATTTTAGAAATAAAGTTTTTTAATTGCAATAACTGATATATTTTGCGTTTTACTATTGATTTCTCGAGGCATCTCATATTAAGAGAATTTTTTGACTTTGCGATTTGCTTTTTACGTAGGAAAAAAGTAAAAGTACTTTTATTATACAATTTGAGTGGACGCTATCGATTGAGCGTATGTAGAACCTGCTCGGTTCAGCCGTTATTGAGATTTAATAATCTCAATCCTCCGCAACTCGCGATCTCGCGTAAAAATAGCCACGATAGTGTCGTTGCGCGTGGCTTGTCGCCGAGACACAGTGTTCCTTGATACAAAAATTTATTTTCATAATTACATATATGTATATTAATTAACTTCATGGTATGTCGTTAAAATTAATTAACACTTATCTATTTACCGCGACAAATATGCAAAATATTGTATATAGAAGAAAATATAATACAATAGAATTATAATTGAATTGCAGAAATGGAACGGCGTTGAAGTTTGATGAGACTTCAAAATTTCTTTTATTGGCTTTTGTCCAATAGTTTTTGTCCAATAAATAAAATATTTAATTTGTTCTAAAGAGATTTTTTTACAAATTACACACAACATATTTTTATTTCATCTGTTTAAAAATATTTTTTAATTACTCTATGTATAGGGTGTTATTGGCCAAACTTTTTAAGTGCATATTCCATTTATTGTAGGGATGAAAAAAAGCATGGATTCGGAAACGCTTCCTTTTCAAGATATAAATATTTGTTTATTTTATACTTATATCTATATTTTATTTTATACTTATATGTATATTTTATTTTATACTTGTATCTATTTTTTATTTTATTACTTATACTTATATCTATATTTTTATTACAGAAATTACTGAAAATAATTTCCTTCCGAATCGATGCATGCTTTGCATCCACGTCACTTGGATTGTTGAAGACGTTGAAAAATTCTCGGAGTATTTCGTATTTTTTAATCCTTTGAAGATTTGAATCTTTTGGATTTTTATTTATAGGGACATCTTAAGACACTTGTGTAAGATACTTCTGTTACTACTGTGGAAGTACTCCGAAATCGTATTATCGCTGCGTGTGAAAGAATACAAAATACTCCGAGAATTTTTGAATGTCTTCGATACATACGACTTTTACTTAAGTCTTTTCGAAAACTATATTCCAAATGATATATCGTGTGTACTATACGTTTGTACTATTTTCATAATATAATCCTAAAATAATATTGAAAATATAATAAAATAATGTAATTACGAAAATTAATTTCTATCATGATTTCTCTAAATAACCCCATTCTTCTTTAATCATATCCGCAGCTTTTTCAGCAATCATATAAACAGGTATACTTAAGTGCCCCGATATAATTTCGGGCATGATAGACGCATCTGCCACTCGTAATCCTTGAATACCGATCACCTGAAATACATTATACATTGTATATAAATTGACAAATTAAAAATATACTTATATGGCACATTACTTAGAATATTTCTAGTAAATAGTCGAGCGTTTTTTAGGAAATACCTTTAATTTAGGATCAACGACGGCGGTAGGATCTCCCTTTGCTCCCATTTTGCAAGTTCCACAATAGTGAAAAACCGTGGAAGTCAGGAGTCTTAACATGCATTCCCAATAAGCATTAGAATCATACTCATAGTCATGGCATTCAGTACAAGTAATTTGCAACAACTGAGAATTCAATGCCTGCATCGCCTTTGTTTGACCAAAATTTAATGCAGTTCTAAGACCAGCGATCATTGTCTTCATATCATTTGGATCGTTGAAATAATTCAGCGTAATCTCTGGTTTAACATTAACGTCGTTAGCCAATAACGTTATTCGACCACGACTTTTTGGTTTCATCAATATTGGCATAAGACTCCAACCAAATGTATCAACATATTTACTCCATTCCTGACGTATAGATTTTTTTAAATGTAACATATCTGAAAAAATATAATTTTTAAATGAAACACTGGTAAACAGTAGTTCGATATCTGGTAAACCGTTACGTTTTTCCGGATGTTTTGTATTAATAAAACCAATGCCTTCTAGTCCACCCGGGATCGTGAACGGTCCTGTTCGCTTTAATAAAAAATCGGTTATATATGGATTAAAAGGATTTAACTGTTCGCTTGATAGTAAACTTGTCGATGTATTTATTGCCCATGTTAATCCGTAGAAGGCTATATGATCCATAAAGTTCTCACCGACTGGTGCATCTTGGACGACGTCTATACCTAAGTTGATAAGATGTTTCATTGGTCCAATGCCGGATAACATCAATAATTGAGGTGATCCAATAGCACCTGCACATACGATCACTTCTTTGTTCGCAATCACACGTGTAGTCTGATCATGCTTAACAAACTCTACGCCGATTGCTCGTTTTGTACTAGGATCGATTAACAGTTTTGTCACCATACTTTCAAGAGTTACATGAAGATTCTTGCGATCGCGCGCAGGATTAAGATATGCTCTGTTGCTGCTCATACGGGTGCCGTTCATAATTGTTCTCTGTACATATGAGAATCCTATTTCTTCCTTTCCGTTGTAATCTACTATTGGATATCCCATTTCCTTGCTAGCTTGTATAAATGCTTTTGCCACGCCCGTGCGATATTCTGATTGGGTGATATGTACTGGTCCATTGGTATTATGATAGGTAATATCCGATTTCAGTTCAGGGATATCCATTGTTTCTAATTTTTTAAAATATTTGAGGACATCCTTATATGCCCAGCCTTTGTTTCCCATCTCGGCCCAGCGATCGTAGTCCTCCGCGTTTCCTCTAGTAGCAACCATAAAATTTAGTACGCTACTTCCACCAATAACTTTTGCCGTTGGACAAACGCAGTTATTGCCTTCTATGCCTAGACAGTACTTATTGGATGGCTTCGTTCGATAGCTTCGATTTATCTTGGTCTTTTGCAGCATACTACAAAGTAACGGGATATCCATGTATAAGTCTTCATGTGTTCCATCTTCGATCAGTAGCACTTTAATCTGAGAAATCTTGCTCAATCTCGCAGCTATAGTCGCACCGGCTGTACCAGCGCCAATTACTATAAAATCAAACGTATCTCCAGATTGCGGTGTTGTGTCTTGTACTTGTTCGGCTAAATAACGTTGGCTCTGTGTGAAGAAATCCACGAGTGCTTTAGGTAGCTTTAGTATATTTATTAATCTTGATCCTCCCGTATAATCGTCATAAAGATTGTTGTTTAATTGGCCACTAGTGATGGCAAAGATAACGAAAAAGATGGCCGTCTTTATCATTATATTTTTTTAAATAAATGTTCTTTTCTTCTTATAGTTTCTTCTTATATTTTTTTCTTATAATAATGGTGAAGAACGGTGTCTGGATGCTCGATAAACCTGCATAATATATTATATTTATATAGATGTCACAGCGAACTCATAACATAAACAATTGTAAAGAAAAAGCCAAATTATCAAACTGAGCCTCAATGCTAACTTTTGGCCAAAACTTTTGGGAATTCTGTTCAAACGCATATTTAAATTGTCACCGAATTCTAGTGAGTGTTCTTGCTTCCTATATATGTATATTCTTACTTTTAACTTGATCCGAAATCTGGATTGGTACTATCCAATCACATATACATATATAAAATCTTACGTTTCGCTTCACGCAGAATACGCATGCTAATCTATTCTTTTTTAAAATTTGATTATCCACATGGTAAAATAGTACCATTCGCAATATGTGTGAAACGAAATGTTCTTCTATTACGTATTTCTTGAAAAATTGTTTAATGATGTGATCTGTATTTAACTGAGGAATTAGAAGTAAAATGTTTTCTTGGCGCTCAGTTTGATAAATGGATTTAGTTGATTGTAAATATGAGATGATGTAATATATGCTGATAAAAAGTAACAGAAATGTATTTCTTTCAGGAATAAACTGATGTCTTTGAATCCTCGTCAGAAGGAACTTAGTTCGAACCTTATTATGTTTTTCAATTTTGAATTATTAATTTATTTAAAAAGTAAAAAAGCCCATCAGAGCCTGCATCAGCTGTTCAAATGCACGTAAAATTCTTTATTTTCGTGTGAATGTAACAAAACGAATAAAATATTTCGACCCTTTAATTCGGGTCCTTATCAATATAAAATATAAATTGAAATTACATGAATAACGCAAATTCCAAGTTGATGATTCCCGACAATTTAGTTCGTTCTTATTTATCCAAATGCCAAATTAGCTACGTAATGAATAGCCTAATGATTATCAAAAATATTAACTTATACATTGCGTCATTAAATAGAATCACATCGCTCAAATTGTCAGATTTGCTGTGTAGTCATTCAAAAGAAACACGAAAACGAAAAATTAGAGAATTATATAAATCATTTGTCTGAATTGTCTTTTAATTATATCAACTTATAGGAAAGCGTTTTCTCGCGACTCGATGTAAAGGTGTGTCGACAGTCAGAGTTAAATGATACAATGAGAGTCAAAATAATAAAGTCATGTAGTTATTGAAATACAAATAAAAATAAGAACAAAAGAGGGTAAAAACCAACGTCACAATTCTGTAAACAAATTCATATATAGTGGGTCTAAAAAATACGCATCATTCTGTAAATTCAAACTCTGCCTCTGTTGCTTTATATGGATCGTTTCCAAAATCAGTCTTTTATTAAGTAGCTTTTCCTCGTCTAATATCTTGATATTTTCCCAATCAATATCATGTTAATGACTAATTTTGTGTTCTATTATTACGGAATGCTGTGTAGTGTTCTAATTTATGTAATTTCTATGTTGATTTATGCATGTCTTCAAACATCTACCTGTTTGGCCCACATATGATGCTCCACAATTTTGACAATTTTATATACAACGTCTTTGTGAGATAGCTTGGGACAAACGTCTTTATGACCTCTGATGAACCCCTTAAGATTAATAATCCCTTTATATGTCATGTGTATTAAGGAGTCTATTCTAAAAAATTTTTTGATTTTCTCTGATAAAAATGTTAAAGAGAATTGTAAAAAACTTGTAATTAATTTTATCTTTATTATTGTCCGTTGTCTTATCTGTAGGTATGTTACCCTGGTCATTCCATTGTTTAAATTTTTTTAACAATCTATTTTTGATTTCGAAGAATATGTTTCAGTGGATATCCATTGTTTAAAAGAATTAAAATTATTAATTCAAAATTCTCTTGATGATAAATAGGGTGACAAAGAACTACCTAGTAAGCAAGAAACATTTTGGCACATTCCAATAACATTGTAGCAATGTTACAACGTTGCTACAATGTTGTTGAAATGTTTCAAAATGTTTCTTGCTTACTAGGAAAGAACTCTATCAATTAAACGATTGTTCTCACTTTTTGGCATAAAGGATATCTAAAAAAATAATTTATACGATTTTAACGATCAGAAAAAGTAGGTTTGTGGTACTAATTCTGAATAAGAGAGTTTCCTTTTTTAATTAAGCTGATATTAAGAAAATCTAACTTGTCCCCATCTATTTCAGTTGTAAATTTTAATCTGGAATGGAATGAATTAAAAGTGTTCACCAATGTATCAATGTGTGACGCATCATATGCTAACGCAATGTCATCAACATACCTCACATAAAAGGATGGTGAAATTGGAAGCCTTTGTAATGCTTTCATTTCAAAATCTTGCATAACAATATCTGACACAATGGGTGATAGTAGTGAATCCATCGGAACACCAAAAGTCTGTTTATAAAATTTGTCATTGAAACTAAAAATTGTTGAATTAAGAACTAAATCTAACGCTTTAAGAAATTCCCTTTTAGGAATGTTCGTTTTTCTTTCATTGAAATTTCAATGACAACTCCTCTCTATGCCTTCAAAAACCAAGTCAATAGGTACATTTGTGAATAACGAAACCACGTTAAAGGATAAAAGAACTTCGTTGTCAGAGATTATCAAATTAGAAATGTGTTTAGTCAAATGAAAACTGTTCTTGATAAAACTGTTTGCTACTGCTATATTTTTGTGTAATACGTCATTTAAAAAAAGGCTAGATTATAGAGAAGGCTCCCCACTGAAGAAACTATGATACGAAGTGAATAACCTACTTTGTGTATTTTCGGAAGACCATATGCAAGAAGCGCAACGAGGTTAGAAGCATTCAATTTATTATAAACAGAATTCTCAACAAAACCACGCTGCTTCCATCTCTTTAATAACGTCTTAAGTTGTATTAACATTTGATGAACTGGATTGTCAATAACTTATAAGTCTCAGACAGTAAAGTTTCCATTTTGTGTACGTATTCTGTCTTGTCAAGTGCCACCATATTATCCTTATCCGCCCTTGTAAAAAGAATATGTGAATTGTTTTTAACAAATTATTTCGTAGTCGTGATTAAAGAAAAAATTCTCTTCTCTATGTCAATCTTACTAGCACATGCTTGCTTTAGCCCCTTGATAAAGGAAAAATTCTATTCCTAAATTCTCTAATGTTGGGTAATTTTAATCTGACAAAATTATGTTCGATGTGTTTAACAAATTCAATCATGATGTTTCTAACGTTGGCAAGCAGAAATCTCTCACCTAATTGTAACAATGTTTCGACTTTGGTATAATATTATAGCATTGCTGAGATTTTTGAACCATTTGTCATTTACTTTAAAGATATCATAAATGATATCATGAAATGTGTTTAAATTGGTGTTACGTCCGGCGGACTCACGCGACTCTTTTCTTTCATAAAGATCTCGAATTCCCCGAAGCTCTAAAATTTTATATTCTTTCCTTTTTTATTTTTCATCTTAAAAACTAAGAATCCGTTATCTCCTCATGAATGTCGCTCCGAGATAAAAATCAATATGTATGGAAAGCGTAAGACTGATTAACGCCAAGATTAACGATCAAGTCGCGAAACGATTCTCGCGAATTCGTAATTATAAAATTTAAGAAACGGCACGCGACGTTCAGGGGTAGATTCTGGGTGGTCCCGTGGTGACGATGCATCCGCGACTTTTCGGCGCCCGAGACGTACGTTTCCCCATAAATCTCAGGGTCATAAAATTTTGGAGTTTCACTTTCCCACTCTACCGATTCCTGTCAACATCCTTTCCTCCCCCAAAATCTTGACCAATCTAAGAGCGAAAGAAAATCCTACTCCCAGCTAACGAAACCTATTCCACCAATCCAAATTTGAGTAATCTG